GTCGGCCACGCGGCAGGACGGCTGTGACACGGGGGCAGGCGAGCTTGTCCAGCTACCAGAACTAGCTGTGTGACTGCGCCTTTTGTCCCCTCTCTCCGAGCCTCAGTTCCCTCTCTGTCACGCAGGGAGCAGGGGAGAGGTCTGAGAACGAGGGGCATCCAGCACCTGCTCCGTCCCCCCTCCAGACAGTGCTGCTCATGTGCTTGGCTCCGAGTCCTCCGTGGCCCTGAGGTCAACACGAGTCTCTCAGCTGTTTCAGTGGTGAGAAAACAGGGACACAGACGCTTCAAATAACTTGCCTGAGGTGAAATGCAAGGGGCAGAGCCAGACTGGACACCTGTCTGCCTGCAGGCTCGTCGCTCTCGGTCCCTCCCGGTCACTCCAAGCTCCTCCAGCAGGGTCTACTCTGAGGGCTCGACGAGACACCACCTGGAGGTCAGCACACTGCCCAGCACACAGGGGGCACTGCAGCCTTGGCAAGTCTCAGAACGGACCCTGAGCGACCGTGCCCACCGCGAGGAGACAGACCCTGAGCGACCGTGCCCACCGCGAGGAGGGAGACGGACCCGGAGCGACCGTGCCCACCGCGAGGAGGGAGACGGACCCGGAACGACCGTGCCCACCGCGAGGAGGGAGACGGACCCTGAGCGACCGTGCCCACCGCGAGGAGGGAGACGGACCCGGAACGACCGTGCCCACCGCGAGGAGGGAGACGGACCCGGAACGACCGTGCCCACCGCGAGGAGGCAGACGGACCCTGAGCGACCGTGCCCACCGCGAGGAGACAGACCCTGAGCGACCGTGCCCACCGCGAGGAGGGAGACGGACCCGGAACGACCGTGCCCACCGCGAGGAGGCAGACGACTAGCAGTCTCTCCCGCTGGACACGCAGGACATCAGCAGCATCTTCTTGTTCCTCTTTCTCAGACACCAAGTTGTGGAACGTCTCTTACATGTCCCGTGGGCGATCCTGAAGCTGCTGACTTGGATGAGAGAAGTGACCCGTCTCGTCACCATCCACAGACCTCTGTGACTGCCTGGCGCGCCGGGTGTTCAGCACAGCGCAGGGAGCCGAGCTGTCTGGAGCGGCTGGCTGGACAGCTTCTCTTTGCCGCTCAGGACAGTGACCAGGTATCTGTCTCTTCGACCTCATGCGTGACCACCCCAAGGACTCCACAGTTGGTACAAGTAGTGCATTTACTGTATCACCCGAACGACGGTCAACGTCAAATAGACCTTAGGGGTAGTGTCAAGTCATAACTCCTCCAGACTGCAATAAACTAGTGACTGTGTACACAGCGCCCCAAATGTATAAACAAAAAGCTTCAGATTCAGTCAATTACATGGATGGTCAATCTATATAACGTCAAATATCTGAATGTTGCCAAATATCAATACTTGGGACCAAGTACTAATTTTCACCCTAATGCCTGGGTGTTAGGTTAAGTTCACCTGTTTTTAATGCCAATTATGCTAAACAGTAACACAATATTCCATTAGCTGATCTTTGATCTAAAAGTCCGTGTAACTCCTAATAAAAGCTGCTCCCCTAGCCCCCCTTATAAGCACAGATAATGTAACTTACTGTACATGGTGGTCTCTGGAACAGAGCCAAGACCTTTCCCATACAATTCCTACAGAACAAACACGATCAAGGTTAGCTCTCGTTTTGACTGGACACCTGCAGGGGTGACAGGAAATGCTGCTGGGGCACACGTCTCCATCGTCCCAGAGGTGAGTCTGGCACACATCTGGGAGGCACTGTCCACACTTGATGGGAAAACTTTCTATACACTTCACTTTTATTTATTTATTTTATTTCCCTTTATTGATTTTAGAGAGAGAGAAACACCGATGAGAGAGAACATCGACTGGCCGCCTCCTGCATGCCCCCCACTGGGGATCGGGCCCACAACCTGGGCATGTGCCCTGACCGGGAATCAAACCGGCGCCCTCTGGGTGCAGGGTCGACGCTCAATCAGTGTTACTGGCTGGGCTCATTTTTATTTTTTTGATGGTCAATCTATAGATCACTTTACTGACATAGACCTATTCAGCAAATGTAATTTTAAACCATGTCACGTCACAAAGGGAAAATGACGTGCAGTCATCCAGGGGGCACCACACTAAGGAGAGCGCCCTGGAAATGAGACTCTGGGGCGATCCTCACTGTGCGTGGCCCGGGATTAGTCCGAGGGGCGCCTGCCAATTCCAGGCACCTGCCCCGCGGCAGGGAGACATCCCAGGGACTGAAGAACTGTCGAGGGGTTCGTTCTTGCCACACATCTTACAAAATACATGAATGTATGTAACCCAACTAATATACTGCTTCCGTTTGGAGTGTTTCATGTCTTTTGTAACTTGCTCAGCACTTTAGCAGCATTATGGTCTTGTGTGTCCAGAGTGCAGGGCCAGCCAGCAAACCCACTTCGTGTAATGGGAGACTGATGAAAACTTTGGGGTCAAAAAATGTTAAATAGCCCTGGCCAGTTTGGCTCAGCGGTTAGAGCGTCGGCCTGCGGTCCGGAGAGGCCCGGGTTCGGTTCCCGCTAAGGGCACGTACTTCGGTTACAGCTTGTCCCCGGCCCTGGTTGGTCGTGCGGGTGGCAGCCACTCGATGTGTCCCTTCACGTCGATGTTTCTCACCCTCTCTCCCTTCCTCTCTCTCCCTCCCACTCTATCTGTACAAAAAATGGAAAAAATATCCTCGGGTGAGGATAAAAAAAAAAAAGTTAAATAGCACAGACACCAGAGACGGCGAATGGTTTTATTTTGCTTTGCTTCCGTCCAGACACGCCCTCGTCTGGAACAGAATGAGCACGTCGGCAGCGTCCTCACCGAGGAAGCGAGGCGGCGACCGCGCTGCAGCCCAAGGTACACCAGCAGCTTGAATGACATCACGACAGGACTCACACGCGGGGGGGGGGGGCTCTTAATTTTAGAAAATAATAATTCAAGTCGTATGAACACACGTTAAAAAGGAGTTTCTAATTTTCCAAATATTTTGATACAAATTTTTAAACAAATGTTTTATAGACCCATTGTGAGAAGAATATAAGTATAGTCATAAAAAAACATGATTTTCAAGTGATCTTATGCAATTCACTTTGCCGTCTTAAAAATCAGTTATAATCAATATAATTCTAATGGCATTGCTTCTTAAAATTGAAATTTAGAGCATATCCATTATATTCAAAGTAAATTACTCAACTTACAATTATTTTGCCCTAATTAGAAGCAGGGTCTAACTTTAGGACTTTAAAAAAAACACATGTAACAAAGACATATAATTTATCTAAATTTCACTTTACAGGTAAGAGAAAACTGCAATTTGGTATGAGAACACTTTTCAGAAGCATCACGGCACGCCGTCCGGAGCAGGCGTGGTTTCCCGTGGGAGCGCGTGCACACGAACGGCGTGCACACGCAGGCACGCTCGGCAGGGCTCCCTCTGGCTCTGCAGAGCCCCTGGACTGCCGTAGCGGCTGCGTCCAGCCCGCCGCGAGGCCATCGCGTGCTCCAGCTGAAGCGACGGTGCCGTTCGGAACAACGTCAGCGGGAAGCACACTGTGACCTTGAAGGACCAGCAGGCAGTCGAGTCACCGATGCGGACACAGAGCAGATTGCACGTGAGAAAAGTCCTCTCCCCCGGGGCACACTGTGCCGTGACCCGTGTGCGGTTGGTGCTGGAAACAGTCTCGATCGGATGGTGGAGGAACTGTGCACCCATCACACTCATGGGCGAGTGAGTTCGCCTGGTGGACCGAGTCTCGGTTTTCCTGGCTTGAAGCCAGACACCACAACCACACAGCTCTCCCCGCACGTCCACCGTGCAAGCCACAGAGCACCCCCTGGCCGGCCACCCACAGGACGCACACAGTGAAGGTCGACCACGTGACATCAGAATGATTTCGGGAGTGAATGCTTTGCTGCACCCCAGAGTGGCGGCAGGAAGGCACGGGCCAGCACGCCAGGCGGGGGTCTGAAGGCCCCATCACCCAGTGTGGGCGGACAGGGCCACTAAGGTGCAAGTGGCCATCCTGAAACGAAGGAGTGAGAGGAGGCTTAAGGTTTGCAAGGACGTATGGCACAGGGGTGGCGAGGTGCTGAGCAGCGGAAACTTCACGATGCTGGGCAAAGTCAAGTTCTGCTACAAGAACCGGGTCGTGGTTTAGTGACACCTGATTCTCGCACTTTGTATGTGGTTCCTTTGCATGGAGCACAGGGTGTGCAAGTAGGCGGTTTGCATCACTACCAGGCGTAAGTTCGTTCAAGTCCGGAGGGAGTGAAATGTGCGCACGCGGGGGGTCGGAGCTGCCACCCCGAGCACGCCGGGCGCCTTCCTCCTCTCCACCAAGTGCGAGTTCGCTCATGGACTTGAAGAAAGGACACAGAGAGGTCACGTGGGCGAGATGCTCAGCACTTCGGCGGCAAGTGTCTGGTGCATCAGGTTGTGAGGGTGAAAGTAATGAGCGTGAGGTGCACCGCCAGGGCCGCCTTGAGCACAGCTGCGAGGCCACACGTGCAGACCACAGGCAGCGACAGAGCCACCCCGACACTGCCGGAAGGCAGGCCACACGTGCAGACCACAGGCAGCGACAGGCACCACCCGACACTGCCGGAAGGCAGGCCACACGTGCAGACCACAGGCAGCGACAGAGCCACCCCGACACTGCCGGAAGGCAGGCCACACGTGCAGACCACAGGCAGCGACAGAGCCACCCGACACTGCCGGAAGGCAGGCCACACGTGCAGACCACAGGCAGCGACAGAGCCACCCCGGCACTGCCCGGAAAGCAGGCCACACGTGCAGACCACAGGCAGCGACAGGCACCACCCGACACTACCGGAAGGCAGGCCACACGTGCAGACCACAGGCAGCGACAGGCACCACCCGACACTGCCCGGAAGGCAGGCCACACGTGCAGACCACAGGCAGCGACAGAGCCACCCCGGCACTGCCGGGAGGCAGGCCACACGTGCAGACCACAGGCAGCGACAGAGCCACCCGACACTGCCGGAAGGCAGGCCACACGTGCAGACCACAGGCAGCGACAGAGCCACCCCGACACTGCCGGAAGGCAGGCCACACGTGCAGACCACAGGCAGCGACAGGCACCACCCGACACTGCCCGGAAGGCAGGCCACACGTGCAGACCACAGGCAGCGACAGAGCCACCCGACACTGCCGGAAGGCAGGCCACACGTGCAGACCACAGGCAGCGACAGGCACCACCCGACACTACCGGAAGGCAGGCCACACGTGCAGACCACAGGCAGCGACAGGCACCACCCGACACTGCCGGAAGGCAGGCCACACGTGCAGACGGCGCCGGCAGCAGCTCCCCGCAGGCTCTGCTCCGCAGCTGGGGCTCCGGCCGGGAGCCGTGGGCACCCAGACCACCTGCACGCGGGCTGAGAGAAATTCTATTGTATCCAGTGTTCACCAACAAGCTTTATTTACACTCGCGTCAGCCCCGGGAGACAGCTGACGGCACTGCCGCACTGGGCGGCGCCTGGAGGCCTCACGCTCGGACGCTGACCCACAGGCAGCCGACCAGGGTCCCGTAGAGCCAGGTCTTCACATACAGCTTCCTGCCGGCCTCGGTCACCAGCATGCCCGCAGTCAACCCTCCTAGGACCAGTAGTGATGGCAAAGTCTTCTTGAGACTTAGTTTAGAATTAACACTTTTCCCAGGAAATTTGTTTCTTCTTTCCGGATCCAGTGAATCATAGAATTCTATAAGCAACCTACGGCCAGAATGGGGAAAAGTTTTAAGTTTCAGTTTAGACGTTTCCATACTTTAATCCAACAAATACCTGTCGGGCACCTACTAGGTGCCAGGAAGTGGCAGGTCCCTGGGAAGCGACGAAGAGGGGACCCAAGACAGGGGGCCTGCAGCTCCGAGGCGTGCTTGATGGGCAGTGTGTGACGCGTCATGCGTGGTTTCGGCCTGTGGTGGGTGTTTTGTTTCACGAACTGCACTGTCGAGTGTTGCCGAGACCCGCCCCACCGCCCCACTGGCCCCGTCCCTGCAGCCCCCTGCACCAGGGGTCAGAACGGAGCGGCAGTACCCACACGGCCGTGCTCCACGGCATTAGAACAGCAGCCAAAGGAAAAAATAGGATCGTCAATGTGTTCCTCGTCTTACTTTTACAATGTACAGTTGCGATCGCAGAACACACTCGACATAAACGTCACAGACGTGGCAGTGCAGACGGGAAAGTCCTTCCGCCTCACAAGCCATTCCCTGGGGACGACCCGCCCTGAATATGGACAAACACCCACAACACAGAACACAGTAAACCTATGTTCAGGCTTTTTCCTGAGAACCGATCTTCATTTCAAAACATAGAGACTTGCTTTGACATCTTTCCATCACCCGAGTGTGTGGCCAGGCTCATGAAGCGCCGTGCACACTGGGCTGCAGACGTAGCACGTGGAGTGCCCTACACGAGGGCTAACGTGCTTTGAAATCACCTCCAGGGGGAGCGGACCCGCAGGCTCAGGGGACCTCCGCTGGGCTGCAGCAGGCACAGGGGCAGAGGCAGCCCAGGGAGAGCCCATGAGGAGGGAGAAACCCTTGGGTAACATTTCTGAGCATAAACAATTCCAAAAGTATTTTTAAAGTCTTTAAAAAAACACACTTTTCTTTGTGTTTTTTTGTTATCGTTGTGAATCCTCACTGGAGGAAATTTTTTCCGTTGATTGTTTTTAGCTCGAGTAGAAGGACGAGGGAGGGAGACAGCGATGTCAGAGAGATACACTGACTGGTTGCCTCCCGCAGACCCAACCAGGGCCAGGAACTGAATCCATATGAGCCTTTGACTGGGAATTGAACCCCCGACCTTCGGTCTGAGGGCTGATGCTCTACCACTGGCCAGGGCAGAACATACTTTTCAATGTGGCCTTTATAAATGGTGCATCCTATAACTAACGGAGGGATCCAAAAAGAAGACAAAAACGTAGATTTTAAAATATATTGTTCATAAAACAGGACACCCGTCAGGAAGGATCAAACTCCCCCCAGACAGCAGAACAAGCAGCAAATACACTGAGCCCTGATGACTCACCCCAGGAAGCCCCGTTTCTAATGCCACAGCAGAGCCGAGCCCGCCCCTGCTCCCTGGGGGGAACCCTGAAAGTCCTGCCTTCAGACGCTGAGACCCGCTCCTGCTGCCGTCCGTCCCTAAGTGGGCCCACGCCCTGTCCAACCTCTCTACGCCGTGCCTCGCCCGAGAGGCACCCCCACACCTGGCCCTCCCCAGGTACCTCGCCATGCTCAGCGCTCTGGTCTGTTCCATGTCCTCCGCATGGACAAACACAAGGTCAACCCCACAACACTAACAGCAAAGAGCCATTTTGCTCTGGAAAATGTCACCTGCCCCTTCCTTCTTTCCACAGAATCCAGGGTCATCCCCAGGGCACTGCAGACACCCTGCCCCAGCCCCTCACCCCATGCCCTCACCACAGCCAGTTCCCCAAACCCACCCTGCCCTGAGCTGGGGCAGCAGAGCTGGGGCACATGACAGTATCTTATGTTTTTTTGTTCAATTTTATATCTTACCACGGAGTTTTGGAAATACTGCAAAAGAAAATGGACAAGCTGCCCCTCCCAACTTACTTCACAGGGCCGTGGATCAGTAAAGGTTGACACACGGACAGACGTGTGCAGAATCAGGCCTGACCTGCTTTATGAGAAGCACGTCTCAGCCCTGGCCGGTCTGGCTCAGCGGTTAGAGCGTTGGCCCAAGGACCAGAGAGACCCGGGTTCGGTTCCCGCTAAGGGCACGTACCTCGGTCGCAGTTTGTCCCCGGCCCTGGTTGGGGTCAGTGGGTGGCAGCTGCTCAATGTGTCCCTCTCACGTCGATGTTTCTCTCTCTTCCTCCCTCTCCCCCTCCCGCTCTATCTGAAGATAATGCAAGCGTCCTCGGGTGAGGACACGAACAGCGCCCCTGAGCTAACAGACCGGACCTCCATCCCGGGGCGGGGTGAGCGGGACCCGCCGAGCGCCCTCACCTGTCCTTCAGCACGAAGCGCTCGTGCAGCCAGCGCTGCATGTGCGCCTGCTCCTGCGGGACCCCGCTCTTCTCGATGCGCTCCACGTGGATGTGGACTTTCGGACACTCTTTGCAGAGAAATTCTAACAGAAACCAAAAACATTTCATGTTTGATTTTAGAACTTATGGTTATATAAAATAACAATGAAAACAAGGCAAAAAGAAGTTTAAAAATGGAAAAGCAGAGATTTCTTAACCACCACCAAAAGTCAGAATAGAGACTATGACCGGTGGTTGGGGTTCCCAGCCGGGGGAGGGGTTCCGGTTTCCGCACCCACCTCTGTGGCACGTCAAGGCAGCCCAAGAGACCAGTGTGACCTTCCCTGCAACAGCCCGACTCCTGCAGCCGGCCAGGAGCAGGAAGGAGGCTGGACTCTGCTGCAAGTGCATCCCCACCCTCGGAGGGGTCCCCAAATGCGGCCACCATCCACCCACCAAGCATTTCCTGAGACCCCCAGCCCCGTTCCCGAGCCCATCCCTGCTGCACGGTCACTGCTGCCTTCACCAGACTTCGGGGCACAAGGTGGGGATGGGGTGTGCCGGGTTCACTCTGGCAAGGCGCCAGGCACACCTAGGCACTCAGTCACCTGGGTGCCGGCCCTGAGCCCGCGCGGAGCCTCCTGTGCCTGACCGCGAGGCGGCTGCAGCAGGCGTGGGAGGAGGCCCCGCTCCCTCTGCGGACTCCGCCGGCCCCGGGCTGGCCCACGCCTCTGGCCCTGGCTGGAGCCCACCCGGAGCACGAGCCCTCACAGGGCCAGTCCCTGGGACACACGCACGTCCGAGCAGCAGCCCTTCCTCAGCCTGTGCTGCACGGGGCCAGGCCAGGTGGCCTGAGGAAAGCGAGAGTGTGTCTGAAACCTCGGAGGCCTGGGCACATTCCCAAGAAGACCAAGTTCCCTGCGGGCAGCGAGTAGGAGGCTGAGACCTTGTATCTCAAGTCGAAATGTGTTCAGAGCCGGCTCTGATCAGTGGGGACTGTGTCCCACAGCCGCGGGCTTGGCGCTCATCCTAAGCAGCCTCTGGTCTTTGGACCCACGCGTCCCTCCTTTGCGAAGCCGCACTCTCCACAGCTGTCGACCCTCAGTGACATTTCAGGCATCACAAACTATCTTGTTTTTGTTCACTTTTAGGAGAAAACTGGCCTTGAAGACAAACGTGCCAGAATACCGCAACAGAGATTTATTTTTCAATATTTTGGTCTTAATTTTCCCCAAGTTCTATCTTTCATTTAATGAATCAAACTGCTTAAGAAGTACTTTCAGCAGCAGAACTGGGCCTGGGTTCGGAGGGGCGGCAGAGAGCTGGTGGCCTGGGTCCGAGCCCGTGTGGGCCGGGGCAGGGCCGGTGTCCAGGCGCCGGCAGCCGAGGGGCGTGCCCAGCACTCTGAGACGGGCCAGCCTCCCCCATCTCTGTCCCTGCCTGCCCGCGTAGGTCTGCTGCCGCTTCAGAAACAAGCAGACCCAACACCACCTTCCTGCTCCGCCTGCTCACCCCAGCCCCTCAGCAGGTCCATCCTCACGAAGTCCCGGTGCCACTGGGCTCGTCCCACACCTGTGTGGGAGACGGGAAGCTGGGCCGGCGCCCAGTGTCGGCAATGCCGCCGGTGGGCCCAGGAGACCCGTGCGGGAGGGAGACCGTGCGGGAGGGCCCCGCCCTCGTGGGCTGTGAGGCCTTCCCCGAACCTGACCAGCTCTCTGGGGCTCACCACACCTGTGTGCACATCACCCCACTGCCCCCCCGAGGCAATGCAGGGGCGCTGCTCTCCCCGGAGGGACGACGACAGGCCAGAGGGCCGGGCCGTGCTGCAGGCGGAGGGGCCGTGTCCGCCGTGCCTGAGGCCAGGCTTCCAGCCAGAGGCCACAAGCCCCCCAGAGCCGGTCGGGAGGTTCCACCACCACAGACACAGGTTCGGGACACCGACCCGTCCTGCAGTGAAGCTCTGGCATCCGTGCTCGTAACAACTGTTTACTGGGGGCATGTGTCATTTTGCGTGAGCACAAATTACCCCATAATATTCAGGGCACATAGGAAGCGGTCTAATTGAGGTAAATTTTTCCAGCGCTGACTTTTCTGTGCGAGCCCTAGAATGTACCTCAGCTGATCAGCACCCAAAAAGCAGACATGCTCTCAGGTGCACAGGTGTCTGCAGAGCAACGCCCCGCAGTGGGGACGGGCGGAGGGTGTCTGTGGTGACGTCGCCAAAACGACTCTGCAGAGACTCTGGGTATCGCGTTCCTAACAGCAACGCACAAAGGTGCCTGTACACTTGAATCTCACCTGCTGGGTCTGTTTCTAGGAGCCAATCTGATAGTAAAAACATGGTATCTCACTGTAAATTAATTTGCTTTTTCTCATTGCGAACGTGGTTGGACGCTGCTCCAGTGACCTGCCTGTCCTTAGCCTGTGCCCATCTCACCCGGAGCCGTGGGTCATCTTCGTGGCCGACCTTAGGGGCATCTACACATCAAGGAAATCGCCTTTTTCTGCAGTCTGAGGTGCAAATATTTCCCCAGTCTGTCCTCAGTCTTCTGATTCCACGCTGGTGCATCTTTCCTTGCAGAAACAGTTATCCTTCATGGACTGGAATTATGCATTTTATTTCTACCTGCTTCGGGATGTGGAGTTAGAAGAGCCACCTTCTCAGACAGGGATGGTCTGCACTGAAGACAGGCCACTGCCAGCTGCTGAGGAGGGCGGCTGCCGCAGGGGAGGTGGGGCTGGGCTGGGACAGGTCCCTCCAGGCCCTCCTCTGGCTGGAGGGCAGCGCGGCTGGAGGGGCCTGGACTCAGAGGGCAGGGAAAGGCTGGGAGCTGGAGAGCGGCTCCGTGGCAGGCTCCACGGCACGGGGCTCGCCACACAGCCTTCCACCCCCAGGGCGCCGGAGGCGCAGGCTGCGGCCTCATCGTGGGCACCAGGCCCCTGGCAGCACAGTGGAGGGGACAGGTGAGGGCCCGGTGCAGGACTGGAACTGAGCCCTTGGACCTCAGGACACAGAGGTGGGCATCCACCCTGCGGACACTGCCAACCACTGAGCTCTCACGCCCTGGAGGGTGACACCAGGCCTCGGAGGGTGACGCAACGAGAGCAGTTCACCAAGGTCATTATGAGAATTCTACTTGGTTTCATAAACAGTGAAAACATGTTTAAACCTATTTTTTAAACCATGTTTCATAAACTAATGACAATATTGTTGAATTAAAGTCATGTATGTTCTCAAATGTAAAAACAGGTCAATGACTCCTTTGATGGGTAAAAAAAAAAAGACTGATTTTTAGCTGCCCTTTTTTTTTTTAATCCTCACCTGAGGACACTTTTGCATTTATCTTTAGATAGAGCGGGAAGGACGGAAGGAGGAAGACAGAAACAATGTGAGAGAGACACATCGACTGGCTGCCACCAACACAACCCCAACCGGGGCAGGGACAAACTGCAACCGAGGTACATGCCCTCAGCAGAAACTGAACCCAGGACTCTCTGGTCCGCGGGCTGAGGCTCTAACCGCTGAGTAAACTGGCCAAGGCTTTGTCATCAGAAAAGGACAGGAGAGCACAATCATACCCCTACCTGGGAACCCACCGTCCACGGGGTCAGGGAGTGGGCAGCACGGGCAGGAGACGGGGCAGCACGCCCCTCATGCACTCTGCACCGTGCCCATGTGCCGCGGGCCGCTGCAGACATTCCGCTTAGGTGGGCAGAGAACCTTCAGCCCCACCCGGTCCGTGTGAAAGGCCCCGTGAGAGCCAGCACGGACGGAGCAGGCCCCTCGGCCGCCCTCTCTGTGCTCCCTGCTGCGCCTGCTGTCAGAGACCCGGAGGCAGTGCGGGACCCAGCCGGGACGGGAGCCGCCAAGGTGGAGCGCAGGCCCCGCGCTGCCTCGCCACAGCTCCAGCGACACTTCGGAAGGAAGGGATGGCGGCCCGCACGCGCCCTGCTCGCCGCTCCCCTGTCCAGCTTCCCCAGCAGGAGCGTCTTTGGCTGTTTAACTAAAATATTTTGCTCACTTAAAATTCTATTTTCTACTTGTTATAATTGACATTCACATAGATAATAGCACAGAGGTCCTTAACACCTAGCATGTTGAAAGCAAGGTCACACCACCTGTCCTTGTGGGCGGGGCCGGTCCATCCTGGGGGAGGCCCCCGCCCCGTCCCCCCTGCTGGAGCCCCCTTCTCACCGGCCTCCGGGGGGAAGCTGAGGAGTGACAGTGGGCAAGACCAAAGGATTAAAGTGGCAGCTGAGAAATGCCAAACTTAGAGGGGACAATGACATTTAAGCTGTTACAGATGAATAAAAAATACTCGGAAATACATGACGCTTGGAAAATATATCAGGTAAGTATAATGAGGTAGAGTCCACTTTGCTGTTTTTTTAAAAAAAATTCTTTATTGATTTTGGAGAGAGAGGAAGGGAGAAGGAGAGAGAAATGGAAACATTGATGAGAGGGAACATCGACTGGCCGCCTCCTGCACGCCCCCCACTGGGGATCGGGCCCACAACTTGGGCACGTGCCCTGACCGGGAATCGAACCAGCGACCTCTTGGTGCAGGGTCGACGCTCAACCACTGAGCCACACGGGTTGGGCCACCCAGCTGTTTTTAAAACGTGAATCACACATTCACAGATACACGACTAATTAAAACACACTCACCGAGCATGGACGGCGCTTCTCTTCGCTGCCCGTTGTCGTCCACTGTGCCTTCAAACGCCACTGTAACATCGTAAATCGCATCTAAGTGATTCTTCATAGAATCAAAGGCGACGTGCGTGGCCTTCACCCGTGGCGTCAGCACGTGTCTCAGCACTGCCAGGCCTGGAAGAGAAGTGGGTTCAGTGTGGTCGTGGCCGACTCGACACTGCGCGCAGGGCCTGTGCCGCTCCCCAGGTCCACGGGCACAGACAGGCTGCCACGGCCACCCTCTGGAGCCCACGGGACCGGAGGTTTGGAAAGTGCTCTCACACGCCTGAACCAGGACATCCACCTGCGCGACACGGTGGCCCTGGCGGAGCTCGCGGCCCAGGGCCCGCGGCCGTCACCTCCCCTCCGGAGCAGAGCACGCGGCGCCCGGGCCACGGCGCTGGTCCCACAGCACAGCTCAGTGTGTTCCCCAGTCCGAGTCCGTGACTCTCGCCCCGTTTCTATGCGCTCAGTCTCCTAGCTGACCCCGCTGTGGGAAGAGGGGTGCAGTGCACACAGTGAAATCCTGGGTGAACCAAGAATCCAGTTCTTGGTGCACTTTAAAAACTGAGATGTAATTCACATCCCGTGAAATTTCCCATCTGAAGTCTGCAGCTCCGTGGTCCTGGTGCGAAGAGCTGTGCAGCCAGCGCTCCAGCCCCTGCGTCACCGACACCGCCCCCTGGCGGTCCTGGAGCGAAGAGCTGTGCGGCCAGCGCTCCAGCCCCTGCGTCGCCGACACCGCCCCCTGGCGGTCCTGGAGCGAAGAGCTGTGCGGCCAGCGCTCCAGCCCCTGCGTCGCCGACACCGCCCCCTGGCGGTCCTGGAGCGAAGAGCTGTGCGGCCAGCGCTCCAGCCCCTGCATCGCCGACACCGCACCCCGGAGGTCCTGGTGCGAAGAGCCGTGCGGCCAGCGCTCCAGCCCCTGCGTCGCCGACACCGCCCCCTGGCGGTCCTGGTGCGAAGAGCCGTGCGGCCAGCGCTCCAGCCCCTGCACCGCCGACACCGCCCCCTGGCGGTCCTGGTGCGAAGAGCTGTGCGGCCAGCGCTCCAGCCCCTGCATCGCCGACACCGCCCCCTGTCGGTCCTGGTGCGAAGAGCTGTGCGGCCAGCGCTCCAGCCCCTGCATCGCCCACACCGCACCCCGGCGGTCCTGGTGCGAAGAGCTGTGCGGCCAGCGCTCCAGCCCCTGCATCGCCCACACCGCACCCCGGCGGCCGGCACCCCTCCCCCGCCCCTTCCCTGCCTCCACGGCCTACTTGGTCTCTGTGGATCTGTCTGCTACCAACACGTCACGTAAATGGACCCATACAGAACACAGTGGGCCTTCGTGGCCAGCCTTCCACGTAGCTAACAGTTCGAGTTCTCCCGCGCTGCGGCCACCTCGGCGCCCCCGTCGAGCTGAGTGACGCCTCGCTGCAGACAGCACGTGTCCTTGCCCCTGCCCGGCGGACGGACGGCGGCTGCTCCCCGGGCCTGCGCTGCCGGACGTTCACTAACTGCGCACGAATGCCGCGGTGGGCAAGTGCAGTCTGAACACAGGATTCCGATTCCCATGGGCACAGTTGATATTATGTGTGCGTATACATTATTTAAAGCTTTTAAAAAATCTTCGTTATCTGAGAAATATGTAATTTAATAGTGAATCACACAGTCATCAGTGCTTCTCCGAGTGCCGAGAACCTGCCCTGCCGGTCTCCTGCTGCCCCCCCCCCCCCCCCCCCCCCCCCCGGACAGACCGCTCACTGCACCGACACGGAAACCGACTGGGAAACAGCTCGGACGTGCACCCCTCCAGGGAGACTCAGAAGAGGAGAGCCTGTGAGATGCAGAGTGGTGAGGGGCAGCGGAGGTCCCCACACCACAGAGCCCGCCCAGGCCCCAGGGCAGAAGCCGCTCAATGTATCCACAGACTTAACAGAAATCTGAACAGTGTGCCCGGCTGGGAAACATCCACCTGCCAATGAAATTAGCGGACACGCCCTCTTCGCTGCTGGGGTTTGCCCAGCTGCTTTGCATCACTCTGTATTTGTTGCTGGTGTACAGCAGAGCGAAAGTTCACCCCATTTTAAGTCCAAAGTCCCACAGAGTCACCCTGTGGTATTCAGTAAGAACAATTAGTCAGTTGAATCTAATTAGGTGAGGAAGATAGAGAGACAAAAAGGCACTATTTCTCACAAAGGTGTTGCAGTCGAGGTTGGGAAAACCAGCAGGCGACGAGAGTGAGACACTCCGATCTGTGCACACACCACCACGTCTTGCGCTGAGCAGGCACAGGACCTCCAGCTGCCGGAGACCACCAGGCCGCCCGTCTCCTGCGCCCCTGCCCCCCCCATCTACCCCCCAGCTCCAGACCACACAGCCGGAGAGGAGCGAGGACACCAGGACCGGCACAGGAGGCAGACGGGGGAGCACACTCGCGGACGCACTGAAGGCCCAGCCCTGAGACGTGACTACCTGGGCAACGGGGTCACCCGCAACCTGAGCTCGTGTCTTCAGCGGAGCGGAGTGACGCCCGAGGGGATTAAGTGAGGTGTGGATGTGTGTGGTGAGAAAACAGACATTTTTTCCTGTGTGCGTTTATTAGCACATGGTCTATTCATCCTCCAAGGCTTAGAGTAACCTGAGAAAAAGTGTATTTGCACAAAACACGAGAATCCCAGGTGTTTGGTTGGCCATTACAGATGTGTCAGCAAACCCCCATGTTCTGAGTTTAGGGTTCAAGGGTGTGAGACCGTGCTGGCTGCTGGGAGCAAACACCCCAGGGGTTCAGATGGCAGTTCAGGAGGAAGCTGAGCACGACACTTCGCATCCCTTTTATCAGGCACCCGAAGCAAAATATCTGAGATGAGTCTAAGAAAAATTAATTAAAATGAAACACTTCACAAACTGAGAGAGTAAAGTGCGGAAGCCCTACGTGGAAGCTCCCAGAGCGGTGGGAGCCTCCCCCCCTCCGGCTCGGCGCTGTGGGTGCGGAACTCGGCAGCTCCTCCGACCACGGCTCCCGCCAGCGCTGGGCTCCACGCTCCCGCGGCCAGCGGCGGACCCTGCGCGCCGGCCCAGACGGGGGTCAAACCCACAAGCCCAGAGCTACCAGGCCGGGGCCTTTTGTTCTTTTTCTTAATGAAACTTGAGTATAAAATGAAGGTTTACCATCCGATATTATGCCCATAGGTTCTGCTGGAAACACAAAACTGGCCGCCTAACCTGCGGATCACATGACGCGTCTCTCGCAGGCGCGGTGCTGACCCCAGGGCGCGTCAGGAGCAGGTGGAGGCTGAGCTCACCCGGGGTTTGGGGGCGTGTCCTGAGAATCCATCAGCCAGGCTCCCAGATACGGCTGATGCTGTGGGTCAGGCACCATTTAGAGAATTTAGAAGTTAGACCACGGCTTGAGCAGATGGAGAATTCACAAAAGGGCCCTGGCGGCTCCGCAGTTAGAGCGTCGGCCTGCGGTCCGGAGAGTCCTGGGTTCGGTTCCGCTGAGGGCGCGTACCTTCGGTCGCCGTTTGTCTCCGGCCCCGGCTGGGGTCGTATGGGTGGCAGCCAGTCAACGTGACCTCTCACATCCATGCTTCTCTTTCTTTCTCCCTCTCTCCCTCCCGCTCTATCTAAAGATAAATGCAAAAATGTCCTCGGATGAGGATTAAAGAAAAGAATTCACACAAGGGCAGCTGAAAGGAGGGTGTAAAGACAGGAGGAATAAACCACCGTGTCATGACCTTAGTACAGCTCAGCAAGCAAACACTATGGCAATGGCCTCGGGCACCACCCAGCTCTCAAAACCACTGCACACACGCTGCGTCCACAGCACGAGTGTGTGGCAAGTGCCCTACCTTCCCCTCAACAGCCCGACCCACTGCATCGCTCCCTGCTGCTGTCCCCCGGAGGAGGAGACCGGCCCCAGCTCCTGTGGAAACCACACTACAGAAGCAGGAGGAAGAGGAGGAGGGATGCACACAGCGCAGGTCACACTGAGGGAGAGGCAGGAGGAGGAGGAGGAGGAGGGATGCACACAGCACAGGTCACACTGAGGGAGAGGCAGGAGGAGGAGGAGGAGGAGGGATGCACACAGCCGCAGGTCACACTGAGGGAGAGGCAGGAGGAGGAGGAGGAGGAGGGATGCACACAGCCGCAGGTCACACTGAGGGAGAGGCAGGAGGAGGAGGAGGAGGAGGGATGCACACAGCCGCAGGTCACACTGAGGGAGAGGCAGGAGGAGGAGGAGGAGGAGGGATGCACACAGCGCAGGTCACACTGAGGGAGAGGCAGGAGGAGGAGGAGGAGGGATGCACACAGCTGCAGGTCACACTGAGGGAGAGGCAGGAGGAGGAGGAGGAGGGATGCACACAGCTGCAGGTCACACTGAGGCAGGAGGAAGAGAAGGAGGAGGGATGCACACAGCCGCAGGTCACACTGAGGGAGAGCCGGGCGTGTGGGAAGGGGGCTCCCAGAGTGTCACCACAGCGCATGAAGGCTGTCTCCCCCCACACCCTCCTCCTTCTAGTCCGGGAGCATAAGGTGTGAGTGTGGCCCTCCAAGATGATTCTTGTCTGTCTCCACTGACTCGAGAGTAATCCAGGCCCGGGAGGTGGACTCGGAGCCTCACCAGGAGCGGGCGCTCTCCAGACTCCACAGACCACCGCGCAGACGGACAGACACCTGACAGCACAGGGGCAACCGCAGCCGGACGGTGGTGGAGAAGGAACTGCCAGGGGAAGTCGAGAGGGGACAGGGCACTCCTTGACAGGGCTGCTGGAGTTAAAACAGCGGGCCACTTAACAACAACAAAAAAAAACCTTAGAAAATTACAGAAAGACCATGTACCTACCATATTATTTTCAGATAATACTATTATACTCCATTGTACATTGTACCTATATGTTTGCACTACTATTCATCTTCAAACACTATTAAGGTATTGTCTTTACACATTAGGTGGAAGGTCTCCTCACTAAATGCTTTGCCGCCGTTTTCTTCAATGACAAGTTTCATGTCAGCCTTTCTGAAAATAAAATCTCCTTTCCCTGACTTACTAATGTAACAATGAGCCGCCCACACTATACGCCTGGCTCACCTGATGTTGAATAGCTTCATGAAGACAACCTATATGACTTCCGGTCAGGATGGCGGGG